TTTAATGATGGTGTTTTATTCAGTTGGTTTATATAAGGAATGATAGGGAAGAATTCATCTGTTCATTGCTCTAGCTGAGAGATGGGAATTTAAGAAGACCATCATTTTCTAGGGACAACTTTGTATTATATTTTACCTGAATTTTCTCTGGATCATTGTTTGAGAGATGCTGTCTTCTATAAAACTGCATTGAAGAATGTAATACTATGTGTTTCTTCTTGTTCCAGATGAGTGATCGTGGTGGAGGTGTTCCTATGAGGAAAATTGACAGACTATTCAACTATATGTATTCAACAGCACCACGTCCACGTGTTGAGACATCTCGAGCTACACCTTTGGTATGTAAGTCTTTTATACCTTGTCATTCTGAATGTGAGTAATAATCACAAAAGAAACCGTTCAGCCAAAGCCATGAAGTACTGGTTTTATACAACGTGTATGACCATTTGGATGTTACAGCTTAATTCAAATATTTTTTTCAAATTGTACGAAATCCTAAATCACTGACAACTATTTAAAGATTCTGTTTTTCTATATCAAACATAGAGATGAACTACATCAAGCAGAACAATTAGCGATACTGCATACAAATGCAGGACTCTGAATTCTTCTTGTGACCACTGGAAGACAGGGAGGAAAAAAAACACTATAGCATCAGTTTTGAATCAAATCCATAGTTTCAGCTGTGCTTTGTGGTCAGTTGTACCATTCCCCAGTAAGAGTGACGGTACACAGATATGATGGGGTAGATGAAGAATCTACTTCAGCCTCATGGTCTCATGTGAACTTAACAGATGCATGAGAAATACAGTAAGAAGCTCTGAACAGCTTTCCTGAATTTGCTCTCTCTGATAGTAGCACTGAAAATGTAACATTTGTTGTTAGGGAGTTTTAACAGTTTTCTGCCCTTAGATGACTGTGCAGCTCACTGGGTAACAGGTCTTTACATAAAACCAGGGTAGTATCCTTTGAGAAATTCTTTCTCACATACAGTAGATTAAATACTTCTGTGCTTCAAAATTCAGGCTGCATCCTACGCTACAGACAGGGCTTGACAGAATTGTAGCACAAGCTATAAATTCCCATTAGTTTCTTCTTGAACCTTTTTCTGTATACTGATGATGAAAAGTAACTGACTTAAACACTGTAAGATCAGCAGTGCTGTAAGGCACTCAATACAGTTTATTGTTGAAAAAAAGCTACTAAAATACAAGAACTGTTATCTAGCAGCTCTGTCTAAGGAATAAAACAGTTTTCTCCTCATACTCACAGGTTAACAGTGTTTTTTTCCTCTTTCTGGGGTGAATTCCTTACTGTCAAACATTACTCTTAGACCCTCTGTTTACCTTTGAAATTAAAAGCCACCAAAACCAACCACTGACTGATGCTGTTAATAAAAATATACTTTTTCTCCTGAATCAGGCTGGATTTGGTTATGGCTTGCCCATATCACGCCTGTATGCACAATACTTCCAAGGAGACCTGAAACTGTATTCTTTAGAAGGTTATGGCACAGATGCAGTTATTTACATAAAGGTATGATATAGAATTTCACTTTACTGTTTTAATTTTATCATCAATTCTATTAGTGAATCTTTGTTCTGTTATTTTTTCATTAAAAAAAAATAATTTGTTATGGTCTTGTCTGTTTACAGGCCTTATCAACAGAATCAGTGGAAAGACTCCCTGTATATAATAAATCAGCCTGGAAGCATTATAAAGCAAACCATGAAGCAGATGACTGGTGTGTGCCAAGCAGTGAGCCAAAGGACATGACTACTTTTCGCAGTACATAGCTTTTTGCTCAACAATTCCTAAGGTGTATGTATGCCATGTGAAGGGAATTTAAAAGACCCTGGTTTATATCAAGATGCTGAGCCACATTTGATCTGTGAAAATCATTCTAAAGGGAATAACAAAGCTTAAATCTATTACTTTCTTTCCTGGAATTGAAGAAAACAGTAATAAGCTGTTCATACTTTTTACAAAGGTTGTGCTTAATTTGTTCCACCTTCTATTAATGACTACTTTCTGTAGTTAAATCAAGGGAGCAGTACTTTCAAGTTTTATAGAGACCAATATAACCTATTTCGTATCTACTGAGAAATGTATTAGGTCATATGATTACATCATTTTTTTTTAATGGAACTATTGAAAAAGCTTGCCAGAGTATTCTTCCATTATGCAGTGTTAGAAGATTAATGAAACACTCATTTAATAAACATTAAGGAGCTTGTTGCTGTACCTTTGCACCTGTATGGAGCTTTCTATTTCTTGATTTTAAGTATGCTGAAGCCTAATTTTGCAAAGTTGGAAATGTTAGCTATACACTAAACATTTTTTTCACAGCTTTAGAAACCACACATAGGTCTTTAGGAATAAACAAAAAATAAAATAAATTACAAAAAACAAATCAGTTCTAGCTGCTACCACTGGTATAATGCATCTCAGGTAGGTGGTATCGGTAATATTTCTTTGGTAGTAATGTGAATATTTGATGTGTGATAAACTTACCTTTTCTTGATCATTGTGAATTAGTAAGTAGTGTTTGCTTGTGTACAGTAAAGGCTTGCTGTCTTACATTTGCTTATATTTCTATAGGTAATATCAAACCACAGTATCAGTGTTCTAGCCCTACTGAGATCTCAGACTCTGGGGTAGGTCAGGTTACAGCTGTAAATTAAAAATATTTTTTAATAAACATTTTTTAGAATTTATTGTTAGTAGGGAACCTCTAATACTTGGATAATAGAAACTACTTTCTCAGGAGTATTTTAAAATATGTGGAATTAGCAAGTTTTGAAAATACCTTTGTGGTTGTGGTGGGCTTCTGGCTTCATTTATCTAGTAGCTTGAGGTCATGCTGTAATGCGAATAAGCTAAACGGAATATGCTCATCAGGCAAAAGCAAACTGTCAGAACACTGGGGATTGACCAAGCATTACATTTCAGGTACACAGTCCTGTAAGGGATTCAGCTTCTCTTAATGGCTAGTGTTCCAGCTTTGTTGAAGTCAGACTCACCTGTTTTGTATTTTTGTATAATTCCTGAGCATTTTAGGAGTGAAACAGTTAAAGACCTTTAGAAGTAAGCCTTTTCCCTCAGGTAACTCATTGCATATGCTCTTGCAATTTAGTCATGCAGCAGACATGCATAATTGCTCTCAGAAAGTGTGAGCCTAAATTTTACTAGGTTACTGGCACTGTTCAGAGCACAAGGTGAGATACCACAAGTGAAGGGCATAGCTGGTATATGAGAACGTGCAGTCACGCTGTTCTAGCTGTTGCTGAGCCAGGCTAAAGATTATCACCAGCTACTCCCTAGTGTCAATCTGCGAAACAATAAAATGCTTTTATACTCTTCTCAAGCTAACATGTGTCACTTTAACAGGAGGAAATTACAGAATGGCTACGTATGTAGTTAAACTAACACTCTGAGGGAGGATTAATTAATCCTAACTAGAACAGTACAGTTAACTGCTCCACTCAAGCTTGGGGGCACTTAAGTCCCTGTTTTATTTTCTTACAAGGACATGAGTTCGTGACCAAAATCTCTTTCAGTCTGCATGGCTAAAGTGAGGGGAAGCTACAGCTGCTCTCTTCAACCCCAGAAGATGATGAATGTGAGAAATTCTACATATTGTAAAATGGGCCTTGTATGAAAGTTAGAGGGAGTGTTTGCAGCTATTATTACATTTGCTGAACTAAAGCTTAAAGTTACAACAGTTTTAAAAATGGCTCTGAAGCTGAATATTCTTCTAGCTCTCTTGCTGTTTTAAATATTTGAATAACTAAATTGAGCAAGTTTAGTAATATCTGGGAATCAGAAGAAACATTTCTGAAGAAACACAAAGGCACTTTTTCGCTATGAGGTTGTTTAAACATTGGTATTGAATGGTGGTACTGAAATAAAAGTTCTCTCATGCTCTCAGCTAGCTACCTATTGAATTCTGATTATTAGAAAGATTTGCCCTGTAATTATACTTCTCTCTCCTTGCCCAACACCCCAAGTGATCATGGTAGAAACACAAATGTAGCAGTATAGTGCTTTACAGCATTTAACCCTACTCATGACTTTTTGATCTATTAGTTTTGATTAAAATAGAAGTTTAGAAGGTGATGTTTTTCATTGCTGTAACTGCAGTCATCATTAGCACAGTTTATAATGAAATAGTATACTAGCTCAGCTATCAGAGTGCTGAGATTAATAGTTTTGTATGAAAATGAACTCAGTCTTGCACTGTAAAATTAATCTTCGTTTGTGTTCATTTTTCTGATTTATTCATTAAAAATATTTTTTAAATTACACTTTTGGTTGGGTGATTTTGTTCATAACTAAACAAGTTGTGTAGAAACAGACTTCCTATTCAGAACCTCACAGATGTTGCAATCTGTGGTCTGCAATAATCTGTTCTTATGCTCAGGTGCCAGGTGAATTTAGCATCTCTGCTATGGCCCCAAGTTAGCTGCAACAGCCCTGTATGCAAGCAAGCCATCATTTCCACTAGTCTCCTTCCTGAGAAACAAGCTCTTCACTGGGTGCAACACTGAGCTCAGAAGACTTAAAGAAAAGAGATAACACACAGATGTATTCCCTGCTCTGGCTGAAAGCACTTAATTGAGAAATAGACATCCTTGACTGGAGTAAAGAAAGCACAGTTTCAGTTGTGCAATTCTAAGAATTTGATAATTCCGTACTTCTAGTTCCCTTCTCTTTATCAGTAGGGCAGCGATCCTCCCTGGCTCAAGGTCTGAATTCGGAGTACAAACTCAAAGCTACAAGAGACAAAGTAAATAAGTTAAATAATTACATTCTCAAGATTTCTTCATGCACACAACTGAAAATACAGCCTTTCTTTAGAAGTAATTATTACCAAGATTCTTAAACTTTATTTTGGAAATGTATGGTGTGCAGAAGCATTTCCACACCATCCCTTTGCTAGAGTTCCCAAGACAGTTATACAAAAAAAAGGAAAATAAAGACTTGTGAAACACCAACAGTGAAGCTCATTCATTTAATTAAAATGAAAAACAGTCCATAGATTTAAAGGAGAACTTGGTCCACATACACAAATGGTACAAGTTTTGTTCTAGTCCATTCTATGGTAGAATTGATATTTTGTTTCTGGAATAATTCTAATTAAAGAAGTGCTGTTATAGTATCTACAAAACACTAAGTAAATATTCAAAACACCAATTCATGTTCTAAACTATATGGCGTATCAAATCCTCCTTTAAAGAGAAATAATCTGTAGTCTACAATTGAACATATTTAAATACAATGCAGAAACCCAGTGCTTCAGTGATAGTTTTTCTACAGTTCTTCCCTTGATATTTTAAGTTCGAAAAACAGTAAAGTTTAAAATTAGCAAATATATAAATTTGGTCCGCAAAAAACTTGTAGCAAGTAGAAAAGAGAAATACATGTATTGCAAATTGATCTTATTTGTAGCATAAATCTATAAAACTATGTATTATTTAGGAAAAAATAGGTTAAAAAAGATCTTATTTATAGGTTTAAACCTTGTCCCAATATCATAAAGGTAGTGTACAGAGAAATTAATATTATGATTAGTGTATGTAGCTTGTGAAAATATTTTTGTTATTTTCTCAGTAAATTGCAACACATGGAATTCAAAAACAACGTGCTACTACAGTGGACTTAGTGTGAAAATGAATCATCCCAGAAATACATGAATTTAAAGAAAATACTCCATAAATTTGAAATACATGTTTTCTTAAATTAATGTGACATTACTGTTTTCTTTCTTTCTTTCTTTTTTTTTTTTTTTTTTTTTAGACACTTTTCTCTATACATCTTCAGTGGCAACAGATAAACAGACTGTCACAAACTGAATTTGTTGGCAGGATTTTTCTATTGTCCCTCTACCAGATTCAACTCTATTAAATGCTAGTTGACTAATATTGGAATGATTTTAAATACAGTATTCTACTTTCCACAAATGTGTAGAAACTTCAATTAAGAGGGCATATGAGGTCTTAGAAGCACAAATATTACTTAAGGCAGGAAGTTAAATTACTATTAGTACAGGCAGAGTCAACTAGAAATGAAAATACTGAAAATATTTCATTTTATTGGGTTGTAATGGGGAGGGACTATAATGAAAAAGTAAAAAACAAATGAACAAAAAAACAAACCTACCATATTAAACTGTTGCACTTTCCCTTCTCCCCTCAATTGTACAATTATATACAAATCTGCTGAACTTCCTCAGAATGACACTAGTGTGAACTACGATTAGAGGCAGGGTCACATTAGCAGCTGGATTCAAGAGTGGTTACCACTCTGGCAGTCTTGCGAACTTCTCTCTCCTTCTTCTGAACTTTTTCCTTCTGTTTTTCCAGTTTTTCTTGTGTTTTCCTAATATCCTTAATTTTTTTCTTTATTGTTGATCGGTCATTTTGACTGGAAACTCCCAAAGCCTTTAGGGGTTTAAAAAAAAAAAAAAAAAAAAAAAAAAAAAGAGCACTTTGTTATTAGTTTTTCCAACAGCACTATCAACAGTATTTAAGCAAGAACAGTTTAAGGACGTGGGGTTTTTTTTGTTTGTTTTTTTTTGTTTGTTTGTTTTTAAACATACTGCAGAAATTTATATTCAGTAACTAGTTTTAAACTTCTGTTAAACACTAATTTTTTTTTAATTAGGAATGCTACTGAACTCAGTCGAGCCAGCAGTGTTTTTTAACTGCTTGAAAAAAAACAAATCAATGAAAGCTCATTCGAGGAAGTTCATGTTTCTTTTAAGGTTGCATCATGTAGATTAAAATAAATCAATAAAGCAGTTTAGTAACTAAAGACATCTTCACTACACATGGTGAAGACTTTAACAGTGTTAAAAACAAAGACCAAACCAATTCACCTAAAAGGAAGATGGGGCAGCTCTTTAACACCTGAATCTTTGGAATCTTTGTGTCATTCCTGAGAAGAAAATTTTGGGGGAAAAAAAAGAAAAAAAAAAAGAAGGGGCAACTACAACAGTGGTTGAAAATCTTTTCTGGCACGTAATTTGTTTCTTTATAACAAAGGTCCAGTGAGGGCTAATGGTAAATAGAAAATAAGTGCAACAAATTTCCACCTTTCCTAGACATTTCTTGTTTTGATGATGTAATATTGGAATTGTGTCTGTGAACACCAGTGAATCATTTCTATAAATGTTCGGTATGCTAACACTACACTCCCTATCATGGCAATGCTGGCAATGCTTTTCTTTAGCTTATCCTTCATTCAGAGATTTCTGTTCTGTTTACTTGTTTGTGTATTCTATTGTCTGTCTATGTTTTAGGGCAGCCAAACTTGGTCACTTGTAAGTACTGAGGATTTTAAGGTGTATTACAAAAAGCATAGACAAGTGCATGGCCAGCAATAGTGCACTTTGATTTTTGATCAGCAGATGGCAGCATCTGATTCCAAGCTACAGGTAGCAGTCTCACACCCTTTTGGAACTCTTAATAACATGAATTGTAAACTGAGTTACAAGCATTACCATCCCAAACTCCTCAGACAGACGTTCATTCGACAGGCCAGTAATGGTATTTCTTCTCTGTCTGAGGAAATATTTGATTACAAGATACAGGACATTTAGTGTTGAAAGTCTATTCTAAAAATACAGGTTGCATTTTAGAGACCAAAATTGGACACATTTTTTCCTCCCTGAAACACTCAAAGCCGGTTACTATAACTGATCATTAACAATACTTTGCCTTATGCTAAGATAGGCAAATAAACCTCATTTTAGTTGCACATCTTGCCTGTCCAGAACACAGATAATCTACTGAGAAATAAAAGCTTAAAGCTTTTCTAGCATCGTAAGGGACTCATGCCACGCATCTTCCAGAGGCAAAATGACTAGAAAAGGCTTAAAGTAACAATTCAATGCTTTAATTTTTACTTTTTTTTTTTCTTTTTTTTTCTTTTTTTTTTTTTCCAGCAGAAGTAAAAAATTAAAAGCAATTAAAGGTCATCACATACAGTTTTTGTTTTCCCATTTGAAGAACAGATATGAAAGAAATTTAGATTTCTAAAACTGCATCCTGCAATTCTATGCATTTTGCTTGGCTGGATCTTGTTTTCATACTTTATACTGAGATTGACTGTACATGTATCAAGCTCTTCCTTGGGGATATTTGCTGATTTTTATTTCCTTAAGATGAAACCAGGAATACATACCTTGTGAAAAGGCAAGCTCTTATTTATCAAAAAAATACTATCAACTATTAATTTCTCATCTAAGTATAGTCTCAAAGTATTTAAAAACCAAAACTCTGTCCCTTAAAACAAAACTCATGAAAACAGGAAAACAGATTTTGTAGTCACAAGAACGGCTGAATAAGCAATGAAAATTCTACAGTTACAAATCTATCCTGAGATATTCACATACCTTTAACTTATCACTGTCGAGTTGCATTAACTGCTGTCCATCTATGTTCATAGCTGTGAACTCTGTAATGTACTGCTCCATGTTCATTCCCATTAGCCAGTGGCAGACTTGCTGTGTGGTCCATTCAGAGATAGGTCTACTGTGCCACTGATTCTGCTTTCCTGTTGTTGTGAATTCATCATCTAACACCTAGTCAATTGAAAAAAGCCACTGTAAGCAGTATTTTACTTATGCTGGATTCTAGTTGTCAGTTGAATCTGGGTAACAAAGTATATTTTTAAACATACTGTAGCTTCAAAGGGACATAAACTGTTGAGATCACAGCTTATAGTCGGCTTGCCTAGGAGTTTGTTATAAACAAAATGACAATACAACAACATTCAACACAAAGTAAGTGAGAAACAGAGAACACAAATGGTTTTCTCTAAGAAATCACATTTTCATGAAAACCATTCTCAACAAATAGCAAAGCATTTGCTAAATTCAGTGTATGCAAACAACCAACACGTTCTATCAGTCAAAGTGGCTCAGTCCCAATACTAGATACTGGCCTATCAAGAAGAATCAGTCAAGTAGCACTCAGCTGTATTATTGATTATTTTTGAGGAAATCCAGAATACAATTCCAGCAGTCAAGAAATCTGACAACAATTCTAAGTACAGTTTTACTAAATGTGGAGCACTTCTATGGAGCAAGAACAGTTTGTTCTTTCATCTGATCCCATCATGTCATCAGTGTAAAGAGTCTGCCTAGTAGAAGGCCATCTGTCAAGAGCCTATAGCATTCCACTGATACTACGTGCCTCCAGCACACAGAACTCACAGAACAGCTCGCAGCCTCCATTTCAAATTGGCTTCTGAGGGGGGAAAAAGGTACTGCTGTTAGTCCTGATGCACTCTTTCACTTCATCACAAAAGAAAAGCCACACAAAACAGAGCTTAATATCTCTTACTTGAATGAGATCTCTCACTAGCTTTTTATTGAGTATGGGCTGCATTTAGAATTGAAGATTGCTCTATTAGGTAGCTTCCATAACTTACCAAGGATGTTTGTAAAAGCATCTCAAAGCAACCTACTTTGGACTTGTAGGTTAACACACATCACACAACATTTGTAAATGTGAAACACGGAAATAAGCATCTTTCTATGAATGAATTTGAGATGTGACCCTGTACGTTTCAGGTGAGCGGCTAACTACAGCTTCAAAATTGGAAGCGCCCTTGCAGAGCTAACTGCATGAACCTAAATAATTCCAGCAATCACATGAAAGATGGTGAGCCTTAGGTCCATCACATGGTCTGACATACAGTCAAAACTGGACCTGAGAGATCAAAATGGCATAATGGATGTACAAGCACAACTGAAAACTTCAGAGGACTTCATGCAGTTAGAAATGCTTTCGCTTTGTCTGTCCTATGAAACAAAGGAGAAGGGTTACATTAGGAGCTAGTGCAGATGCACGGGAATACACTTACAGAGCACAACAGTTTAGCAGAGGTCCTAATTTCTATAGTACAAGCATTTCAAAGGATTTTTTTCTTTTTTAACTTCAGAATAGCTTGAGTCTGGTCACACAGACTCAGTGGCCACTAGCAGATGGAGCACACTGGGAACACTCAAAGTGTGTGCCGATTTCCAAAGTGAAGACAAATAGGACAATCCAGAAATTTGCTTCAAAGTGGAACTCCTAATTAAAATGCTAATACAGACATAACAAATATGGATATATTGGCCCTCCTGATGTTCAGAAGAACAGTAATTTTCACAAAATAAAAAGGCTTTGGAGAAGGCTTTGCTTGAAGTGCTCTGTGCAGCACTTCTATCAAGAGAACTGGAGAACAGTATTTTCTGTGCAGGCTACCAAGATTGGGGTGCTTAGCACAGAAAATGAAGATAGAAATTACAACAGGAATTTGAAATTGCCCATTTATTTTTTAAATCATTTTAGATAATAGTACTCCTCAACCCATAGCTGTAATACAAAATATATATTGGTAACTTCTTTTGTCTTATACTAGCGAGTATTTATGAATAACATACAACAGATACAAAATTTTTTACATTTCATGCTTGACCTTTACCTCAGTATTGTGTGGTCTATCAGCAGTAAGAAAGAACCAAAAAAATATACTGCCAAAGCTTTTTTCTACAAAGGCTAAAAATTATACACGTTATATTTACTATTCTATTCCAGTTGGAACTCATTAATTTCACTAGAGCTATGCTAGCCATTCAGCTTCAGTTATGTATTTTCAGAGTACTGCAGATTCATTCCTTTCTCCAGCTGAATGCAGTCCCCTACAGAATGCCAAACAGCTCTCGGCACCAGCTCCTCCATGCAGCATGGATTGCATCAGCTAGCAGCCTGCACCACACAAGTCCTCCAGATGGTGCTAATAATTCCAACCATACTCCCAACATACTAGCAAACCCTGTATTTCATATTAGTAAGGACACAACCTAACATCATTTAGAAAATCGTAGCAAAAAGACAATCTTCATTAAAACACAATCATCTCCTCAGATAAGTGAGGGAGAAAAGGAATACTTATACAGTATAAATAAAACTTCTCCCTGCTGCACAAAAGCACAATTGTAACTTTTCTAGGTGTATAAATAGGAACAAGAGAAGTGTGGCAGAACAAGAGTCAGAATACTGATTTTTGAGTAATGCTCATTTGTCATTAACTAACACTCTCCCCCCTAAAACTGTTTACCTTCCAAAGGTAGTACTGTCCCAAACTACTTGTACATCAGTGAGTTTCCAAACCAGTCACTGCTGCAGCTGCCACCACACATGAATAACTTCAAATTCAGAAAGCAGAACTAGACCTACTTATGAAGAGTGGAAGCATGAAAGAACAATGTGCTCTCCTGCATAAAAACGTTAGTGATTCAGTAGGCAAGTATGGATGGACACCCTGAAGGCGTTCAAGACAAAAAGTACAACCTGAGGAAAAATGAATGCCATCACAAAATTTAAGAAGTTAAAATCTGTGAAAGAATAAGAGAGGTTACCACTAGTTCGCTGGACAACAAAATTGAGATGCCATTGCTCTGCCTAGCTGACTGCTGACCTGTCACCACCAGGTCACTTTCCCGAACTGTATGACAGAGTCTGCCCAGAAAAGGCTGATTCTTCCATGCTGTTCTCTTCCCCACTTCAAAGAGGTGTTTCCATCTCTAGTCCTTTAACAATTTCAGGATTTGTAGAGCAGAATGTAGTGCTGCATATTTATAGCATTGTTTTAAGACTGTTTTGACTTCTATACATTACCAGATTATTTTCACCAAAGCCTACTTTAATACAGCTAGTAGCAAACTCATTTATTAATTGCTGTTTTTTTCTTTCAAACATAAGTCACTATCGGTTTGGCTAGACCTCTAGCTCATTTCTGGCTGCATTCAGATTTGACAACTCCTAGTCTATAAAGCATTTAATTGATAAAGATGTCCATCAGTCAAACACCGAATGAGACAATAAATGAATATTGTTATCAAAGAGTAGATTTCAGGTTTCATCTGCACAAAAGAGGTCTCCACAAACCTGCACTGAGGTGAGGGTCCAGTCAAAAATGTTGTAGTTTTCATTCATCCAGAAAGTGACTTCAAATTAGTGGAACAGAAATGTCTTATGTTATAAATTAAAAACTGTAACTTGATCCTACAGGGCTCATTCCAGTTTTTGTGATACAATGGGGATCAAAACGCAAAAGCCAATATGGGGCCTTCAAGTACATGTTCAATAATGGCTTAGGATTTTTTTTTACAGCATTCTTCAACATTAAAATATGGAAAGAGTCATCCAGTTTCATGTAAAAAAAAAAAAAAGAAAAAAAAAAAGGGGATTCCATTAAACATGCTGTAGTATGAACAACATCAACAAGACACAGATACACACTTTGAAACTCACCTCATTTGAAGAGAAGGTTAAAGTGTGTGAACGACCTGACAGATTTGGTTCTGTCACTAACCCTGAAAGTTCACAACTTGGCTTGCTATGGTATGTATCATCTATGACAATTCTACTCTGCAAACAAGTGGAAATAATGTTTTATTAACTCACTCCTTGAAATAGCAGATCATAAGATGATATTCTAGTAATTTTGATTTTTGTAAAAAATAAAAATAATAAAAAAAAAATACTGTGACTATTATTTTTAGATCACACGTGAAAAGTATTCACTGGAACATGCTTCAGATCATTTTTTGTTTAACTTCTGAATTCAAAACCACCACAACAAAATACAAGCAATATCCCTGATAAGAGAACCTTGTGTGGAGAATCAGTCATAACCTGAAGTTATGTAGAAGTATATAAGCAAATACACACAATTACTCTGTCAGTGGGCACAACACTCTTGGGGAGAGGCAATCTAAGATTCAGGTAGTGGAACAGCTCGTGGTGGGTTTGTATTCACGTGAAAGCACTACAGATGTGCTTAAGAAGATGTTATTCTATCAGTGAGATAAAAATTGAAGTTCTAATTGTTTATGGTCATGAAGACTTACTTACATTTTGTATTTACCCACATCCAAACTACTGTCATAGGCAGTGGAACAAACTGGCTGTGTTGGCCCAATGAGCAATGAGAAGAGGAGTAGCAATGAGCTTTCAGCAGTTTACAGATCAAGGTTTAAATTAGTTCATGGATACAGAATGCAAAGCTTGCCTAAGGACAGAATTTATAGGACTCCCCTGTTCTGTGTTGCTGTTTATAACAGCTTCAGTTTTGGGGTGGCTACATTTGAGACACAGAATCATGTCATTTGAAAATCACCTTGATATGCAAACATACTATAGAGGTATGAAATATCTTTAGAAGCTTTTTTTTTCCTTAAGTAATACACTGTATCACAAGCTACGTTAAATCTTCTTCGTAGTTAAAATACTAGAAGTTGTGAAAACATCATTAAACTCCAATCATTAAGATGCGTTTACAAAAAAATGGTTCAACTCTGTAACCATAATTATGCAGTTCAGCAATCTGAAAAAATTACTTTCAAAAGAGCAAATTCTTCTGAAATAAAATTTTAACAAATATCATATTTTTATAAGGGAATAAAATTCCAATTTAAAGAATATTACATTGCATGTAATTAAGTTAGAAATATAACTAATTTAAGAAGTATTGCATTGAAAGAATGTAAAATCTTCATAGCATTTACTGTTTACATTCAGTGATTACTCTTGGTCTCCTTTGAAAATCTGGATCTCCCTGTCTTGGCAATAGCAGCTGAATCTGGGTTCAAACTGAGTCATCAGCCACTAGCTGTTAAATGGCCCCAGGTCACCTGGCCAGTCTGGGACTCTGGCTGAAAGCTATGAAAAAGCCAGATGCTACACCTGAAGACTTCACATTACTTTGGTAAGAAAATCCTTCTAAAGAAAACAAATGTGTTTTGCAGGATATTTTCTAATTTGACTAAATCAATCTCTAACCCAGATCCCAATTTCTACCTTATTTTTCCTTTAATGAGTGAAAAATAAATCTGTTGGAAGCATGTCTCATATTTCTACCTTTTAAAAATCTGTCTACAAACTGCTTACAAACCATAAGCAATTATTTACCTTTATTTCTGAAGTCTCTACTCAACTATCTAAACTTTGTAAGGATGCCATACCATATATATGTATAAGTAATCCGAAAGCCCATATTAATTTGATTTTAAATATATTTTTCAAACATAATTTATGCTTCTATAAAATAATTTGTTTGAAGTTTTCTTTATTGAGCACCTTCATATTTGTGTTCCCATTTCAGTTTAACCTGAACTCTGAATTTTCCAGATTATTCTATCTTAGTTTTGGGGGTGATAATTCAATATTTTCCCAAAAGTATTGATATACACTTCCACTCTTCACAGAAACAAACAACGACCACAAACAAAACAAACCACAATTTGACTCTTTCTGCTATTCCATCACAGTGTGACATTCTACATGATTAGTAAGATGTTTAACCTGCCGTACAGATTATTATAACTAATTATATTAGTTAGTTAAGGTGATTTAAATCTAATTATATAATTAAAATCTAATTGCACTCAACGTTAGGAGCTTCTTCAGTCTTTCACATGCAAAAATTATTACCAGAAACAAGATTATCTTTTGTCCATCAGTCTAATCTCAGCTAATTTCAACTCATAGAGAAGTGTATTGAGGAGCTCATATTTTAACCTCTCTTTTTTATTCCTTGCAGAGAAATTGTGAACAATTCAGAAACAAAGTTGTACTATGGAAAAAAAAAAAAAAAAAAATCGAAGAGGACAGGATAACAATCGAGCCTCAACATTTAATGAGATGAGGGGAAAAAAAAAAAAAGAAGAAAACATAACCAAAATAAAAGTATTTCAGTGTGTCAGCACCAGTTGTAAAGCATTCTCTCTTCTCTTTTTCCTGCCCCAGCTCGGGCCTTGATTTCCTCTTAAAGACTTAGAGCCAGTTGCAAAGACTTTTCATTCCTGAAGAGAGCTTGGATAGAAGAGATTTTATATGTACACTTCTCAAGGTTTAAGGTACAGAGATATATAAATAATTTACTCCACAGCATTCTTCATTGCAACAAAAATAAAACACTCCATACAAGTTTACAGAAGATAATCTGAAAGAGTGAAGAATGCAAACATTACATACATGTTTGTAGTGTTTTAGAGAACAGGCTGAAATCAATGGGCAGATTACATGAAGGGATTTCTTCAAGAACTCTAATTTAGAAGTTTTCTGAAGCTAAACTGTCTGCAAACAGATCACAGGATTTTTGTTTCCTGTGTTCCTACTTTTCATAGGTAACAAGAATTTGACTCAAAGCTTTGAAGGCCTATCAATACCTGAAGGGAACCTACACCCACGAGGGGAGTAAACTCTTCAAAAGGGCTGACAACAGCAGGACTAGGGGAAATGGATCCAAGTTGAAGGAGGGAAGATTTAGGTTGGATGTTAGGGGGAAGTTCTTTACAAGGAGAGTGGTTAGGCCCTGGAACGGGCTGCCCAGGGAGGTTGTGGATGCCCCGTCCTTGGATGTGTTTAAGGCCAGGTTGGACGGGGTCCTGGGCAACCTGATCTGAATGTGTGTGTTTGGTGGCCCTGCTAGGCAGGGGGGTTGGAACTACATGATCCTTGAGGTCCCTTCCAACCCGGGTGATTCTGTGATTCTGTGAAGGCTAAGTTTAGTATTATTTTAAGAAAACAAGATTTTCCAAGAAACAGTAATTCCAAGAAGTAAATTTCACAGAAACAGGAAACAGTTAAAGTATAACTGCAGTCCTTACACCATCAATCTTTAAACACAAATACACAAATGAGACAATGCCAAAGACTCAATGGCTTTAGAGTCTTACATCACAAGAGTTTCTACTTCTACCTCCTCATTAAAAGTGCTTTCATCTGCTTATATGTGACACCACAGGCATAAGAGCAGAAAATACTACCACCATGAAAAAGAATATTCTTTCCTTAAATTCTACTAAGGTAATTTTGTCCCTACCACTACACTGTTTTAGTAAGAAAACTCACTGCTGAATGGTCAGACACATTTCCTTCTCAGTTTTCGAGTCTTTTCACCACCAACTAAAGATTTCTTACTTATAGCACAAACTTAACAAGCAGGTTAGAAATTACGAAGATAAATCTTTCCAAGCAGCGTTTACTGTTACATTAAAAGCTTTAAGGAAGAAAAACACAAACAAACCAAAAGGTTGCAAAGTGAAAACAGCTTGACTTTGGAGAGGCTGTACATGATTTTAGGATCAATTGATGCATGATAATCTGTTCTTTGACATGGTCAGCTTTCTGTTTTACAAAGCAGACATGCAGCTAAAGACTACTATATGACTCCAGCTGCTGATTTGCAACTGGCACTAAGGAAAAGAGCAGAGCAGCTATTACATATCGGAGCAAAAGACAAAAGCTAAAAATAAAACAGTAGGCAAGAAACTAGCCGGAAGGTTAAAGTGATAAAAAGTCTGGAAAAGCAAACACATGAGAAAGAAAAGGTATTAATTCAGAGGACTGTGAAAGGGAAGAGAGAGGAATTAATTTGGTAAGATCTATGCATTTTTGATTGTTAACTAAAGTACATATAGAAACACATTAAAGGGTGCTTAAGCACATTTTGAGAGCTTATAGTAGAAATGCAGCAGGGGGATTTTTACTATGCTCTGAATAGTTGCTTGTATCAAGCAGAAAGGAGGAATTAAGAGGTGAAGAATGGGTTCTTCTGAGACAGTGACTCTTTGAAAGCTAAGCCACTGAATGTTTATCTACACAGAAAGTATCTTGATAACTTTGCTTCAGCCTATTAAGATATTCGCTTCAATGTGGTTCTTGCAATTCTGATATCTTTGGCTTATTTAATAAAATGCCTTAGCTTCAATAGAAGCAAATAACACAAGAAAGTATAAATACACAAGTCAGATGCACACACTGAACAGTACTCTGTGAAGGACAGCTCTACTTAAGGAATTAAAGGGTTCCTACTCTTATTACATTTTTATAGCAATGCGCGGTTCTAAACCCACTGTCTGTATTTTTTTGCAAACTTATGTACCGTGTATGTGCACAGCTTAATCATATGACAGCCACTGTAAATTCACACTAAGAAATCAGACAGTAGTTTAAAAACTGCTTCATGATAGGATTTTAGTGCACATTATATCTGCACACATGGAAAGCCAACTTGTTATCTGACAGTTACGCAAAACATCAGCAAACTCCACAAACTACAGCCCAGCATGTTTTTCTCTCTAATAACATTTAGGAAGAGAAGAAAGTGAAATAATTTTTTAGAAAATCAGAGTGAAGAAGTGTGAAACTTAAGAACAAACTTAGTTTTTGAGGTTACTTAAAATACTACAATTTTGAATCTGAAAATCCAAAGGAAACAAGAATAAAGGAAACTTGTTAAGAATATCACTAACAGTGTTACACTGAAAAAAGTTTTAATGAAACATTTAGACAGCACACATATTGTTTGTGGGCATTTCTTTCATGTAATTTTAATCCCACTACTGCCAATGCGTACACAAAGCTACAAAACTGGGACATTACTGAAGGTTTCACTAAACTTTTTTACTTCTCACACCCATTTCTTCCACATAATTTAAACAGCAAAGATGGGATTTTTATGGTTATAGACTGAACCACGTAATCTTACTGTTAAAGTTTGGTTAAACTGCTTTAACTATTGAATATTACAGTTACTCAGAAGCAATTTTCTGGAAGAGAGTTCTATAGATGTTTCTCTCAGCTTTAAATACTTCTCTTAAATGGAATACTTGTACAGACTCAAGCTTCTGCAGCCAAGTTTACAAGAGGTGATATCATCCAGGTCTGCCATCAAGATTCCACATACTAAGCACTACACATTTTACTTTGTCAAGATGCAACACTTAAATATTCAAAGCGCAAATTAGTCATCTTTACCTTGCTTCTGTTCTTGTCTTGACCATGTTCACAACTGTCCTGTCCACTCTGAGTAAAGTGCAGACTACTACTAGAAACCTGAGGCTCTTTGTGACTGTCTCCAAACCACGAGAAAGGCATGCAAGTGGGAACAGGAGAATCCGAGTCTGACGCAGACAGATTGTTGCCAGAATCATCCAACAGTTCTCGAGAACCTCTGAAATAAGTTAAGTTGTTTTTAAATAAAGCAAAAATGCAAACCCGCAAGGAAAGAAGCGAACAAAAATACACACCACTCACTTGCACCTGTTTCACAGCACAGTTGTTATTAAGAATGAAAACTGAGACATGCCTTTGAATATCCATGCAAAATAATTTGGGTTATTGGTTAAGATCTTTTTCAATATTTCACAAAAATAACTGAACAGTTTCAAATATTTGATAATTCACACAACATTCTTTTCCTTCGTAAGTAAAATACAGTTTTAGTATTTAAGATAGTAAGTATTTAAGAGTGTAACATGCTAGTTTTATGAGCCACTTTACAATGTAACCTTGATTTACTGTTTCCTCTATGCTACCCTTTTTACTTTAAATATTTTAAAACTTTATTTCCACTTTTTCTTATGTCGTGAGATCAGAAGCTCATCTCCATATTCCTATACTAATCTTTACAGAATTGTGCCACTGCTCCATTTGAATATACTTTAAGGTCAACCATTAATGATGATTTCAAAAAAATTCTTAGTTAAAATTCAGCACATATTACTGAAACAAAAAGAACAAATACCTGCTATCCAGAGAGCCTCTTACACTTTCTTTCTCTTGTTTCTTGCCCTTGCCCCCAGATTTCCGTAATCCACTGATGTGAGAAACACAATTTTCATGTAGTGTTTACATTTACACAGTGCAAAACTTTTTTCAGTCAGTTTCAACAGTTATAAAAAGCCACATTTGTATTGTTACACAGAGTGTGATTTTGTAGATTATGCATGCAATTAAGTATTCTCATTTATATTTAAGAACCATGACCAAATTCTGAAAATTCCTTTCAAAAAAATCACATATAACCAAGATAAATACAGAAAATACCCAAAGAAACTTAATATTCAGTGACTCAACAAAGAGAAAGACCATAATTTTACTGCTATATAAATGTGCATGAACCAGTACTACAAGATTTTCTCAACATTTTCTTCTCAGAGAATATGATGCTACCCAAAAGCAACACATAAAGCCATTGATCTCCAAACTAACACGAATCAATCTTACCCAAAATCTGGAAATCGCCTTTTGGACTTCCCTGATGATGTTCCTTCATTTGTTTCTACTGTTTTGTCTTCATTTTTTTTCTCTTCTGTTTTCCGTAGAGGAGTGAAAAATAAAAACGTTGTTCTAAAAATACTTGCAAGTTTCAAGCATTCATGATGAAAAATGCTTCTAAATAAATAAGATCCTAAAACCTGAGTAACAGTATTTACAACATTTAGTTATCTTCTACAGTTCTCTCCCTCATTCTGGGTCAGCAGCTAGTCCAGGCTAGCTATTTGGAACTTGGGCTAATGTATGCCTGCTGCTTGCTACAGAAAGCACGTCTGAGCAGCACACTAGCCAAAACATGGAAAGAAGCATTACTAAGATTTTTAAGCATTAGCTAGGACAGAGACAATTTCTAACAAAAATTACATCATAGAGATATGAAATAAGTAGGACGTATCTTGTTCAGAATATTAAAAGAAAGGTTTTGTCTGAGCTGTACAGTAAAGACAGCAGTTACAATCCAATGATTCTAAAAGATGCATCAAGAAGCTTAAATTTGTTATTTGGCTTTTGTTAACAGCCAAATGTTTCTATCAAACAATGATTAGCAGTGAGTACAGTGATCATAGTCCCTTTAATCTGTTCCTAGTGAGAAACAAGACAGATGAACAATGCTGCAATCCCCATAATGTTCAAGATCTATATGTTGTTTAAACATCTGCATCACATCTGGAAAAAAGGCCAATGTTAAAATTTTGCTGAGAACTGCAAATCAGTCAAACATACATTATGCTGCTTATGGTGCCAGTGTTCCACAGAAATATTTTAGGACCTTTAGTGACTATACATAGTCTGTGACATAGCTCTCCTCTATCTTATGTCAAGGCAAGTATTTAGACTTCTTAGGTTTGTAGTTTGAGCTGTTATCAACTGCTTAATTGAAACAGCATTTACTCTGTAAATGCCTTTTAGATGGGATTTTAAAAATGTGAAGTTGTCCATCTGTTTGCATATCAAAAAATGCTTAGAAAGGAACTTTTGCTTACAATCTTTGTTAAATGCATTCTTTTGTTCGTTTAATATCAAAGCCATATGCTATGCAATCACTATTGCTCATCCTAGATGAAGATTAGACCTTTTTCTTGTAACCGTATACATAAAAATTTATGCTTACAGACTGTTCAAATTTGGAATTTGGTTTGAGCAATCCTAATATTTGAAAATTTAATGTAGCAATAAACTGAAAACACCACAAATATTAGTCAAGATCCTTGATTAGTCAAGATCTTTTAAGAACAGAAGCTTAAAGTAAGTATTCTAAGATTAAGGCCTAGATAAAGAACGTAAGTAGCAAAAGCAATGCAGTGCTCCCATGAAAAAAGAGACATTTATTTAAACTGGGAGAGTTTATTAATATCTGCTTAATATTTGCAGGAAATTTAAACATTCACATATTTCTTACATTCTATTTATACAAAAAATACTACACTGATATTACTGTTTGATACTACTCTGATAAATATGTACATGAAAACAGACTAAAAAAATAAATTCTAATCCTTAACAGAACGCCTTGAAAATTCTGGCTGACATCCATTCAGATCTCAAAACACCTTATGAGTTTTAAATTTTTATGATATTTAAGGGAGCCTGATCCCAGCATATTTAATGGATATACAAGTGATTTGGCAGCTCTATTGAGTACTCTCAAAAGCAACTTTTTAAATACATACTACATTACTTCAGTAGTGTCTTGGCAAAGGCCAAGAATTGGCTCTGCTTCCAAAGCTGCTGTTTGTAATCAACAGACACTCTTCTCAAGGAAGAGGAACTGACTGGCTATATATTAAATGCAGCAACAGTAAACAAATTCATCTCAGGTAGAGCTGACAAGAGAAAGTTACTATCTTGATGTCCACACTGGAGGGCTTAAACATGACTTTATGTGGACAAATGTTCAGTTTTAACTTCCTTTAAGTGCTTAAAAGCTTGCAAATTGCTGTGTTTTTTATTTGTTTTGTTCTTACTAATCATCAGGTTCTGAGTACTAAGAATGGCAATCTCTCCAGTATAATGACTGTGGTTAATCCTTCCTCCTCTTTTGATCCATTTAAAGAACTATGTTCACTTCGGTACATCTAATGGAAACTCAAATAAAACAGAATAAAATGGTCTTGCATACATTCTTGCTAACTTTAGACTTTCCTGAAGAGTTAAGAAATGGGTTTAGAACAAGTAATTAGTAGTCAGTTTCTTTTCTTACTAAGTAGTTTATTGCTCAATAATAATTTATATCTAAAACGATAGCGATTCCAAAGTATTAAAATAATAATAAAGTCTTAGGTCTTACCCTTGGCCTCTTTTCCTTTCCCTTTTACTTCTCTTTGCTTAACATTCTTGGTATACCCTTGAGGAGAATTTGGAGCCATCTCTTCAGGAGTAGGTGAATGGGTGGTGGTTGTGCTGTTTTCGCTGTTTGGTTTGTGTACTGGAGAAGAGTGTGTGGAAGCAGAAGGACTTGACTCTAAAGGACTTTCTGTACTTTGTGTTTTTTCAGGCTTTTCACTCTTTCGCTCTACGTCATCCAAATGAGGCAGAGTTAATTTTTCACTTATTTCTGAGATCTTCGTTAGACATAGAGTAGAAACTTCTCTGCTGAGAACAACATCTTCTGAATCCTCATCCTTCAAGAAATTCAAAAGTCACTTTATAAAAGTGATATAGAATCAGTTGATTTTTTACTTTTTCATTTAACCTTTTGCCATGATTTAAGGATATCCTATGTTATGCACAAACTTGCTCAGTTCAGAAAATTACAGTTACAATTTTAGCTTGATGAGTTGCAGATGTCATCTAAATGACAGAAAGCTGGTTTTATAGGCTCCCATAAGCTTTTGCACATTCAAATCATCTTTATCTAGACAATTTAGAAAGATTCTATTATATATTGCATATTCCAAATCAGTTTTAAAACCCTTTCAAACCAAGTAATTCTCCCTCTGCGACAGGTACTCATATACCAGTTGTGTACCTTTGTATCTACAACTGTCTTCCCCCTTACATCCTGCACTCACGTGCTTATTCTCACGTTAAAATCTCTGCAAGATTCTGTAAGTTCATGAACAAAATTGTTTATGGTTTTTTTCCCCCTCTTCTCTTTCACTTGCTCCATTAAAGGAGACAGTTGATGCCCAGAATCTACTTCAATTAGAATTTCACTGGTAATGACATCAATGTGTGGATAAGTACTTAATCATGATATTAGCCAAGATGACAGGCTTGCCATGGAAAAGGGCCATCTTCAGGGAGAACATAAATACAGACCATATGATTATCTTACATCAAAGAAAATTAGAATAGAATCACACTACGGGCAAACTTTACTGGTTTTCTTTACTGCTAGCAGATGAATGAGTAGAAATAAAAATACAGATAGAGACCTTAAGAGCTATCAGTATTACACTGCTATTTCATAACACCAAATTACATCCTTGAACAAAATTTATAACTTCTAACTTTCAGCTTTCTCAAATAGAATGAGAATGCTGCGACATATTTTTGTGAAAACACAAAGTCAATAAAATCAAATAAAGAGTTCGTGAAATTGCAAAACCAACGTTCCCAAATTTAAATTCAACCAAGACGTCTGAAAAAAGAGAAGGCTGAAAGTGAAGGGGACACACAAAAAGGGCACACCACCAAGGGAAGCTACTAAGAGAAGTCCCAGATTCATATAATTATTATGAATGAAAAACCATGCTAAGAATAGGTAGCCATTGTACAAGTAGAAATGGAAACAGAGTTTGATATTGTTAGATGCACCACTGGGAATTTAAGAGCAGACAGAAGGACAGAAGTTAGATAGGGCCACAAATTGCATTAGAACATTTTACTGCTACATTTTGTTACAGACATAAGTGATTACATATAGAATAAAATATTTCAGAAAAAGTTTAGTTTTTGAAGAATATTTCCAATTATTGATAACTTGTTTCAGACGAAGGGATTGCAGCATAGATAAGCACGTTCCACAACATACCACTCTGGTACTATGTCAGAATTTTTCAGTAAAAATGGCATATAGTACACTTGAATACCTCTTTGCTAACTTCAAATTAACTATGCTACAACAAACTTGCCACAGATCACATATGTGAACCTGAATAAGGCCTTTTCACTTGACACACATCATAAAAATCTCATGCTTTGGCACAGTCTGAATGAAGCTTCGACGTCGCTTCAAATTGAGAATACAAGTAAAACTGAATTTTTGAACGCTTTTGAACGCCTAGTTTTCTACTCATAGCGGTACCTGTAGACTCGCAGTCTGTTGTCCAGCCCCAAGAGTTTCTTTCAGCTTGGATCGAGAAGGTGGCTGGCGTTTTACTTTCAAAGCAAGCTGAGCTTTTGCTTTGTGGGCACTGGTGTCTAATCTGGGAGTATCCCCAACAAAAGCATCAAAATCTGTAACAAATACGTACTTCTTTAAAAGAGTATTAGCATGCAAGTTCTCCAACCCACACTTCAGAAAAATATTCAGAAGCTAATCAGCAGATGGAATAATCCTGATTTATTAATATATGACAATACTATTTTTATAATGTTGTAATATTTTATCATTGTGATTAAAAATAACTGACTAATTTGAATTTCAACCAGATTTCTTCAATTTTTTTCTTCAAATAAAATCAGTCAGGATTGTAATCATTGTATTTATGTCTCAAATACTTAATTTTATTCTCAAACTGATGAGAATTTATGCCCCAAATATACTTTCCTTTGAGATAAAGACCCTTTAAAAAGTACATAAGCACCAACCAAATCTTGTTAAAATATACGTCTCATTTGAAACACTGTCTGATATTTGATAAAGTTCTGGGAATACAATCACTACAAAACTTAAATCATGAACTATGGCTTATATAAAAACTTTCTACAACCAGCAGAACTGGACTTAAACTGAAATATGTCAACATTTTAGCCTTGCCAATATTATTGATTTCACTACTAGATAACATGAGGAAAAGTAAATATAGTCATCTTCCCTCCTCCCTCCATAGTCATTTAAGAAATTCTGAAAATGTTGGAGGACCTCTTATCCAACAAGATTATGGTTCTGTTAATAAAGAAATCACCACACATATTAATGCTCCCTAGCTTCTGTTAAGTGCAAATCAAAGATCTAACACTTACCAGAAATCAACATCTCTGAAGAATTTACTCTTTCCTTTACTGATTCTGTTTCTTTTTCACTCTCTTCTCTCATCTTTGACTGCTCATTATGCTGGTTTGGATTTTGACAACTGTCTTCCAATAAACTCCCACTTCCAAACAGATATGGCATCTTCTCATAAACTATTAGTTTGTTTTCAAGCTCTGAAATCTGTAAGAATTGAAGTGTAGAAGTGAGACAAATCCTCTAGAACGCAGATGTTTGTTTTTAAATCTAACAATGTGTTACCTTTTCCTGATACACTTTCAGCTGTTCTGCATATTTCTGGTCTCTCTCTTCAAGTACCCTTAAATGATCCTCCTCTTTTTTCAGAAATTCTATTTCCCTGGTGAAAAGGAACATACATACATATGAAACAATAATATGCAGAAATGTAGAAAAATACAGAAAATAAATATGCCCAGTCGCATTTATTAAAAATCTTCCTGTTAGTAAGTACACTGAAAAAAATCAATCTGTACTGTGTCATAGATTCATATATTTCATAGTGTCACAAAGTGGTGCATATATTTGCGTATATAATATTTACTTTATCACAGAATAAGTCACTTACGACACTAATTCACTCTGGGCTGAAAAACACTTGACCTTAAAAACTGGCAATCAAGTTGCACATCAAATATATGCAGAACTTTAATAATTGGATTTTACTTCCACAAACATACACACATGCAGCATTTTCCTTCCAAAAGCTATGGTAGATTTTCTTACAGACAAGTAAATAACATTTTAATTTTCTATTTGGTTTCTCCTAAAGAAATCGCAATGATAGGTTATACATTATTTCTAAAAAGAAATAATGATTGCCAAAAGGAAATAGAATAAATAAATAAATAGAATAAATAGAATAAATAAAAGCTACTTTTTCATGCAAGGTAGACTCAAAAGCAGCAGCAAAACTTTTGAAAAACCTTTTCAGAAGTTGACTGAAGATATGGAAGAATCGAGCATGTATAGCCCTCTGCCAAATGACAAAAAGTGTGTTAAGCAAATCATACCTTTACATATTTTTGTTAGTTTTTCCTCTGATGTACAAAATATGTGAGAAAGGAAGAGAGACCTACTTACTTTTGTTGGTAATCCTTGAGCAGTTTCTTGGCCTTGTTGTATTTCTTTTCAAGGGCATCACATTGTTCTTGAGTTTCTTTAAGATGCTCATTTACTGTTTTGCACAAACTCTGTGCTTCTAACCAGTAGGTCTCCAACTTCTTAATTTTCTCCTTGCTTTCCTCTAAGTTTTGCTGAAGTTGGGCTTTATTTAATTTCCATTCACTTTTTTCTGCTTCAACAACTTCTAACTGAAAAGATTGAGAATTAATAAAATAATCTAAACTAAAAGATGAAACAAACAGTACATGTTTAGTAGAGAACAGTTAATAACGACTTATCAATAACATCAAAACAAGACACAGAACTTTTAAAGAAATCATATCAACTCCTGCAAACCTTGCTAATCCAAGTAAGTTCTAGAACTCAACTCTCAGGTGTCTTTCACTACTTTCTCATTAGTATTGCTTCCTTTTAAAAGAGTTAAAATTAGTAAAATCTTTACTGTTATTTGTTAAATAACTCGCCATCTCCATCCCTGGACAACCTATTTTGAAATAGTTGCAATCCAGCATTTACTTACTGCTAAATTTTCGATTTGCCTTAGATTAATACCTATAAATGGTATTGAAGAAGGTATCTTACCTAACAAACTCCTTAAACAATTAGCTATCCAATTACTTTTTTATAGCATTCAGTACTAAACATCACCGATTTCTTTCTCTTGGTAGCAATCATTATGGCATTCTTAATGATGGGAGTTACAATTTCCCTTCCAAAATGCTTTTTGGCAGTGAATGTTCTTGTGTGTATTTGAAATAGTATAAAGACCAGCTCTCCATGCTACTACTTTGTTACCAACAGCTTGTTTAATATAGCTAATGAGAACAGTAGATCTTCCCTGACACTTTAATAAGACAAGGTCATCTTAACGAAGTATTATATATCCCTGGATTGATAACTAACAAGAAAATTAAGCAATCCCTCAACAAATGAAAGAAATAAGCCTCCTTCAGCTTAACAGCAGTCATGGTATGGAAATGAATATTAATCAATATGAAGTTCTCTGGGCCTGGCCACCTATCTTGGAGATACTATTTGCACTAGGGAAACTGCTGCTTATGAAATCAGGTAAGATCACCTCCTGATGGAACAGAGATGTTGGAAGAATGAAACATTTACTGAATTTTTTAAAAAATGAGGCAAAAGAGTTATACTAATACCAACATTTTTAACAGTTTTTTTAGCAAACCAGTGGGCTAAACATCAGGAATACTGCAAGAAGGAATACCATCAGAAGGTTAAATCAAAACTATCATAAGAACACAAAGTTTCAGATGCTGTGACTTTCCACACCTAGAGCTATAAAATTTTGCAAAGTGCAGGAAAAACTCCAGTAGATATTGTTATTCAAATTATTGTAATCTGAAGCTTTATCTTAGCCATGTCTCCTGCCACCCTCCTCCAATGGCATAGTGTGACTCATCCTAAAGCACACATTCCTTGTCAAGAAAACACTGAAGGATAATGGAATAAAAGCAGCTGCTCACCTACAGCAAATATTTCTAGAAAAAGACCATGCACAGATCTGCATCAATGGAAAAAGTAGCAAAAAGAACAAGAAACCTTTTCTCAGATAACTCAGAAGTTATCCAATCCTCACTGGGAAAAAAAAAAAAACAACAACAAAAAACCTACTGGAAAAATCTCTTTCCTCAAAGGTGGTCGAAATGTGGGAGAGGTTAAGATGGCAAAGAAGGTAACAGAAACAACTTTCTGGCAACAGAAAGTCAGGCACTAACCACTATCTACAAATGCCAAGTCCATACTCAAAAAACAGGTTCCCTGCATTGAAAATATTCTCTCACTTGGTTGCAATCTTGCTTCACAGAGTGCCAGCTAAATTCAGTTTGATGGTAAGCAGTAATACTAAAGCATTCATTTTAAAATGGCACTTTTCCCAGCCCCTATTTGAGGATAGGTCTTCAGAAATACCTGTCTTGCTTAACACAGTAAAACAGCCTGAGGCCTAAAACAGATTGCTGCCCCTCGCATTCAGCTTATTCCTGGTAAAATTTGCTGTTAGAAACAGTAATTAAAAAAAACAAACAAAAAAACAACTCAGTCACAATTCTTTGAAAACTTACCTTCTCCTTCAGTTGATTCACTTCAGCTACTGTTACTGCATGTTTTAACTGCAGCTGAAACAAACAAATACAAACTTGCAGGAGCACACAGGAAATGATACTTGAAATGCAAGTTTCAATGTTTGTTTAATCTCCCTCACATTAAGTCACCTTATTTTTCAATTACAGAAGAAGTAAACGTGAACTTAAAAAAAAAGAAGTTAAACTACATCATCACCTATGATATAGAAAAAATGTTGAGTTTTTAACATTCGGATAAGTGAGGAGGTTAAGATAACATTTCAATGTTCTAGGAAAATGAGAAGGCAATAATGCAGTTATGACAACAACTTGTACATAGAATCAAGTAAAAATGTAACAATATTTTTTTTTTTTTTTTAAACTTATCAGCACTGACAAATAAACACACAAGGTTTGATTTGAAAGTAAGCTTTGTACTTCAGAACAGAAATCTTCATAGAACAGTTACAGATGGATAAAGGCTACATCTGAACCAAATGTAAAAATTACTTTTAACGTGACAAGGAAACAGCATGCATATGAGTGTAAAGGTTTTTTCTGACAATTGTCAGTTATTTCTTACATTTAACTCTCCATCTATTAACCTGGGGGGCCTTTTTACTTTTTAGTAAGGCATAATATACTGAATATTAAAATAGATGTATCCATAAATTAAAATCCATAACTGAAATTATGTTCATAACAGTGTGGTAATGATTCTAGCTGGGAATTCAATAGCACCCCAAGTAAATATGACACTTTTAAAGATGCCATACATAGTATCTGTGCCTCTCACAGAGAAGATGTAAATGCTCTCTATTTGAATTTTCAAACTATTGATCACTTTCTCAACATCAGGATTACCCAGAAAACAAACTTGAGAAATTCTGTAAATATTGATCTTTTATAAAAATAAATATGTACAAATAGCTTCTGAAAGTGCCAAGCTGGGACCAGACAGTTTCTTTGCAGTGTATTTTTTTTCTCTTGAATAAAAGTCACAAGTACTTAAAGCTACCAAAAAACCCACAGGCTCCTCCATGCCAAACACTGTACCACTTAAATCCCAGAATATAATCCACAGGCCTGAATAAGGCCAATAAGCTCTTTAATAAACCCATTGGGAAAAAGGATCCCAATTTTCCAATTATGTCAAGTAGGGAATCACATAACGGAACCTCCTACTTGTTCCTAAGTAAGTTCTTTATTTCCAACCTTTCCCCTTCTCACCAAAATGTAACAAAAAAAAAAAAAAAAAAAAAAAAAAAACACCAAAAAAACAAATCAGAGGAAACAACTTGGAAAAACCCTCTAAACCAAAATCAGACCTATCTCCAGAATCAGCTACTTCTATGTACACAGACCTCATCAACTTCAGCAACCCTCAGGATGTGGGAAGTCTATGTTTAAAGGGACATTTCTAAGAGAAATTTACTGCTTCCACTGGGAAAATAAACTCAAAACCACAACGATGGGGACACGAAAAATCATAGAATATTCAGATTTTCCCTGGTACATCACAAAGAATAGTAAAAAAAAAACCAAAAAAACTGCTACTACTATACCTCTTTAAATTTAAGAAGAGATTGTGCTGAATCCATATCCAGTGGTAAACTGATATCTTCGTTTTCAGGAAGATCAAAAACTTCCACAGATTTTTCATGTAAATGTGATTCATATGTATCATCATCATCATCACACTCATCATCCTGGAAAAAAAAAAAATTTAGAAAAACATGACATCCAATAACATACAGAGTTTATAACACAAAGACAAGGATTTTCTAGGAAGAAGGAAAAGTCAGAGGAGGGTGACAGAGAGCCTGAGAGCAACTTCCACATGGGGAAAGGCTGAGAAACCTGGGTGTGTTCAGTCCAATAAGCACACAGCACCTAGGCTTCCCACCAAACAAGGGGTGACGGGCAGAAACCAGAACACAGGAAGTTCCACACTAACACAAGGAAGAACTTCTTTACTGTTAGAGTGATGGAGCACTGGAGCAGGCTGCCCAGAGAAGTTGTGGAGTCTCCTTCTCTGGAGATATACAGGATCCATCTGGATTCCTACCTGTGCGACCTGCTGTAGCAAACCAGCTTTAGCAGGAGGTTGGACTTGATGATCTCCAGAGGTTCCTTTCAACTGCTACAGTTCTGTGATTAATGCAAAGAACTGCAAAACTTCTTTACTAGTTACTAATCCTTTTTAGTTTCTTCTATCTGTGATAACTTTTAAAGGAGGTTTGCAAATATTTCCATCAAAATTCCTCAGAAGAGAGTTAAGTAAGCCACAGACAACAAGATTCACAGCTCATGTTTAAAAATATCTTTTGGATTATTGGTGAATATAGCAAGTAGTCATAACTGCATACGTTAATAAAGCTTGTGTATTAGTTTTGTATTTTCTCTTTTAATCAGCTTGCCTGTTTTATCTTTTTTTTTTTTTTTTTTTTTTTTTTTT